GAAAATAGATTCTGTGAAGAATAATTTTGTAAACAAGTGATTCTGAGAAGTGAGAGTGTTTGGATAGTTATTATCAGAAGCACTTTTTATATATACAAATTACTAAAAAAAATATATAGTTAATATGATAATTACAAAAAAAATAGATTTTATGATATATTTAATTTGAAGGAATAAAATTGTTAATAATATGTTTTTTACCAACATAATTAATAATACATAAGATAATATAATTAATAAATAATTAATGTGTATATATATTTATAAAATATAAGATTAAATGTATTTATAAAAAATATGTTTATAAAAAAAATAACAATATACATATCATATAGGCCCTCACACTCTCTCTTTTTTCTCCAAAAGCAAAAAAATTTTGCTTTTTCCAAAACCATGGTTTTGGTTTTTGGAGGGGGTGTTTGGGTGATTTATTCCTCAAACCATGGTTTAGGGTGTCACTCAAACACACCCTTATACATTGTTTAGAACAGGAAAGAATAGAAGTTGGTGAGCATATTTCCTTACAACTCCAACAAAATTGCTTCAATAACTAGCTTTTAAGCTTGTATCATGCTCGGCTAAGGTAGTAACTGAAAAAAGAGGTGGTGAGATTTCGTGTACGCGAGTAGCAAGAAATAAGAACTAATGTTCCACAAGCAAAAACATAGGGCGACGCTGACCCTACTTCTCCATAAAGAAATGAGTTATTCTTTTTAATTTATCAATCGTTCCCCTATTACTTCTTCCTCATTCTTCCTTTCCTTTTCTTCTACCTTTTCTCCTTCCCATTACCAAAAGAAAACATCTCCACCCACTTCATTTGCTCGATTTCATTGACCCAGACTTAAAAACTACAATCCACATTAACTGTCAATGTGTTACCTTCCATCTTTAATATAAAAGGTAAATACTAATTTGTGAATACAAAAAAAAAATTAGTTAAATTAGTTATTTATAATAAATTGGTATTATATTTTTAAAATACTCTTGTTTATAATGTGTATAAAAATGGAAAACATTTAATATATGTAATCACCGTATGGATTGTTGTGGGAAAAACTAAATTAATATAAAAGGCAAAGTGAACTGAAGTGTTATATTTAAAATTAATTGAATCTCCAACTAGCTCTTGTATATGGGATCGAAGGTAGTATATATACTACCTCCGGTCCTAATTATAAGAGCTAGTTGACTAATTTGAAGAAATTAAAGAAAGAAGTTAAGTTAGTTATTTGTAATAAATATGTATTGTCTTTCCTAAAATATCCTTGCTAATTAAGTGTATTGGCTATAATTACTATTGTTAGGAGGACTATCTTCGAAAAAATACATAAATATGAGAGAAAAAGTAGATTGAAATCTTATACTCCCTCCGTTCCTTATTATAAAAGACAAATAACCGAATGCGTTGATAAAAAAACAGTTAAAATTAGTTAAGAACAATTAATGTGTAAAAGTATAATTTTTTTTCCAAAATGCCCTCATTAATAAGGAGAAGAGCATGAGAGAGAACAATTAAATTATTAAAAGAAAGAGAAATGAGAGGGAGAGAGATGTGAGTTGGATATAATAATATATGGGTAAAATAGTAAATCAACACAAAAAAGTAGAGACAACTTGTAAGTGTCTCTTATATATAGGAACATGCCATAAGCATCAATGTCTCTTATATAAGGAACGAAGGAGTATTTAGGATCAAAATAAAAATCAAACATGGTCTTATATTAAGACCAGAGATAGTATTTTTGTAGATTACTCAATATTAATATTATTTGACTAATTTAAACTCAACTTTACTTGTCTAAAGTGTGAAAATATCTCTTGATGACAATGCCCGGTTATGAGAAAATTTTATATAGGAGATAATAAATGATGTTTTATATTTAAAGTCAAATCAAGACTCTTAAATAGATTTTATAAAATCGAAGAAAGCATATCTAAATTTTTTTCTTCTTTTCAAATACACCCCTAATTTAATGTACTAATGGTAATCATTTACTAGGAGTTGAGGGAAAAAAAATCATTGATTAAGGGTATATTCGAGAAAAGATTTTATAATAATTTCTAGAAACACAAAATGGTACTATAAAAAAGGACAAAAATTGTAGAAGATTCGGTACTGTAAAGAGGCACGGAGGCAGATATCAATAGATAATGAGTGACTACAGTCTACACGGCTCAATTCAACTTCCCTATTTAAAAAAAAAAAATTGTTGAAAAATCTCCAGACTCAAACTTTATTACCCAAGATATTCAAGAATTCAGGTTTTTAGGCTGATGTAACTTTTCTTCAACTATGATAACATATATTCACTTATGTGTAAATAACCTCCGTTTTATTGTGCAGAGTTAAAGAAAAGCACTCGCTGACAATAAGTTGCACTCAGATAATTAAACAAATTTTAGGTAATTCGAGCAAGAAATTTTACAGTGGGAGATTTTTGCAATTTTCCTTTTGTTTTTTTCCTTTATCGCATTAACTTCTATAAATGTGAAGATCTCTCTTGGAATTGTCCCCATCCTTACATCAACCCCCCAATTCTCTCCTCCTCTCCAGTTCATTCAACTATGCACTTCCTGTGTGTGAGGATCATGGCAGGGACAGAACCCACTGGGGGGAAAAAAAAACAAGTGTGAATGTTTCTAGTCAGAAATTATTAATCATTGGATCATAGACCTGTTGATAACAGAATGAAGCCACGTGGCCATTTCCAGCCGGTTCAGAAGCAATGAGAATGATCATAGTTTCAGCGTACAAGCTGAGAAGAAGCACTTTGTGAACAATTGGGGACAAACCCTTTTCAACTCAAATCAGCATGACAAAGCACATACGCTGCTAACGTGCACGCCAAGGCTTATAGAGAGCAGTGTCTATAAGATTGGGAGACATCACATGGCACACTTTTTTAACTTTAAAGCACAGAACACTCCCATTCATAAGTTTCTCCTATTAGGTATTAATTAAGAAAGAGACAAATAATAAAACCCCACAACCACGAGTTTTATCTTAATCCCAAGTCTTATCAGAGTATGCAACAATACGCTTTTGTTTATCTTTTGTGGTGTTAGGGCAGAAAAGGGGGAAAAAACCAAGGAGAAAAAAAATTCTTATTGGCAGACCATAAAGTTAATCCATAAAACACGTTTACCCAAGTTCATGACTTTTTAATTGAGAGAATTGCATAAATGAACCAGGACTAGTTTCCATAGCATAACATCCCTGCTGCCCAAGTTTTTTTATCAGAACTGAAGAGATACAATCATAGAGAAGTATTAAAAAGTTATTGCTTTCCTTCTTGTTTCTGTGACTTTGAAGGCTCAAGTGGGTACAGCCCAAGTTTTGGCAAGGACCCCACCTAAATGGATTTCAAGAATTTTATTTTTGGCATAGTGTTTCTTTTCCTTGGCATCTAACAATTTCACAAAGACAATTATCGTAATTTGGTACATGATCTTGTTATTATATAGAAACACTTTCTGGAAAGAGAAAGCAACAACCTTTACAAGCGATAGATGCATAAGCGCATAACATAGCCAACTTCATGGAAAATCATCTGAAAGAGAACTTGACGTTACTCTTTCTCCCACATGCCTCAAAGTAACTTGCTCCCTAAGATGAGTTCTGTTGTATAAAACCGACCTCATCGTTCTTTATTCTCTCCAACCCATGCCCTCTTTTTGACAGATGCAAAGTGAAAATATTTGTTTTCAGTTACCATGGATCATAGGATTTCAATGGAAAGAGATGGAGGGAGCACTGATCTGCAAGGTGGTAAACTCACAAGGCTCAGCGAAACTAGCAGCACAGGGACTACAATGTTTGAGCCTCATGGCATAAGAAGTATTGAGAAAGGAGAAAGCAGCATCCCAGCTGACTCTGTCTCTTCTTCATGTTTAGCAGTTAAAGCACCAGAAAAGAAGCTAACCCTCTTTGCTCTTCAACTTGCTGTTTTTGAGAAAGCAGCAACTGGCTTGGGAACACTTGGGTTTATCTGGGCTACTGTGGTCCTTCTAGGTGGTTTTGCCATTACCTTGGATTCAACTGACTTCTGGTTCATCACCATCATACTTCTAATTGAAGGGACCAGAATTTTCAGCAGGAGTCATGAGCTAGAATGGCAGCACCAAGCCACTTGGTCCATAACTGATGCTGGAGTAAATAGTTTCAAGTTTTTGAGGTCAACTTCAAACTATGTCCTTGAAGGTATAAAAAATTGCCTTTGGAGGCCAGTTGTTGCTGTCAAGAAATATAGCCAACATGAGCGAGAAACAAGAGAGGCTAGTGAAGTGAGTCCCGACAGGATACCAACTCGGACATGGACAAGTTCGGATGTTCCAATTCTACCATATGCCAATTGGGTTTTCCTTTCAAGCCATATCAGTAAGCTTCTCTATTGGCTTCAGCTTATTTCTGCCACAGCTTGTGTAGTTCTCTCATCCATGAAGCTCATCAAGCATAACTATGGGGAGGTAGCAAAGGGAGATACTGACAAGAGGAATAGGCAATTCGCTCTTAATATTTTCTATGCATTGGCTTTGGCAGAAGCTTTATTGTTTCTGATGGAGAAAGCTTACTGGGAATGGAAAATCAGCTACAGGAAAATGTTGGAGGTGGTTAGAGATGAGTGTGAATTGGGACCATTAGGAATGGTGTCAATCAGAAGGTTCTTTTATGATGCATATTCAAGATGTATAGACGGAAGCATATTCGATGGCTTGAATATGGACATGGTCAGTTTTGCTATGGATCTGTTGGCTTCAAACTCTCATGATGAGCAACTCATTGGGGCAAGAATTCTGCGTCGATTTGCAAACAGTGAACGGTTTTCTGAGGAAACTCTTCAAAAGATTGGAATTGCCATGTCTGTGCTGGAGAGGCTGGTTGAGATGTTGAATTGGACGGATCACAAAGAGGAAGAAATTAGGCTGTCAGCAGCAGAAATTTTATTGAAACTAGCTGACAAGAAGCAGAACTCTCTCCGCATAGCTGGGATACCAGGAGCTATGGAATCAATATCTTCTCTTCTTCATACTAACCGGAGCTACATTCCTGCAGCTGACGAAATTGGAGAAAAGAAACATGTAATTGATCACCCATATTATGGTTTTTGGACATTTAACCATTTGGGACTTCTCATTTTGAAAAAGCTTGCTCGTAACCATGATAACTGTGGAAAGATTGGAAATACAAGAGGCCTCCTCCCAAAGATCATAGAATTCACGTATGCAGAAGAGAGAATATTGAAGACTGAAAATTTTGCTCCATATCAGATTATTACAGTGAAGAAATCCTTGCAACTAATGAAAATGCTGGCTAGCACAACAGGCAACACCGGGAAACATCTAAGAAGAGAGATTTCTGAGATAGTTTTTACAATCAGCAATCTCAGAGATATATTAAGGTATGGAGATAAACACCCCTTATTACAAAAACTGAGCATGGAAATTTTAACCAATTTGGCCTTGGAAGAGGATGCAAAAGAAATAATTGGGGGAACAGGTGGAGTACTTAAAGAATTGTTCAACATATTCTTCAAACAGAACATAACAGAAAATCAGAAGGATGTGACCAGTGCTGCTGGTGACACCCTAGCCATGTTGGCACTAGAAAGCAAGAACAATTGTCATCGCATTTTGAAGTTGAAAGTACTTGAAAGGCTTGTAGAAGCATTGAAAATTCCATTGCTTCGCGTCAATGCCGCTAGAATTCTAAGAAACTTATGCACTTACAGTGGGCCAGAATGCTTCGACCAGCTGAGGTTTGTAACCACCGCAGCACCAACGGTATGTGTTTTTCTTTCCTGATCTAATTTGGCATAAGCTTTTTATTTTTTTTCAATATCCTGAAGAGAATCTTGATCATTCTGCCACTGTTCAACCTTGTAGATACTTCAAGCAATCATGTCAGAAGAAAACAAACTACAGGAAGTGATGATTGGAGTAGCAGCAAATGTTTTCAGATTCATGACTTCTCATGAATCAAGCACTCTATTTAAAGAAGCTGGAATTACTGAGGCTGAAATGGCAAACAAGTTAATCCAGATTCTCAAGAAACACAAGTATCCACCAACTAAGGTTCCTAGAATAAGGAGGTTTGTTATAGAGTTGTCAATATGGATGATGAATGGCAAAGCAGAAAACATACGTATCTTCAAGGAACTGGGAATGGAGGAAGTGCTGGAAGGTGTCTTGGAGACGACATCAGAGCTTGAGAACTTCAACATCTTCTCTGGTACCTTTGGACTTAACCGGCACAATATGACAATTCACTCACTGGTTGAGACAGCATTGAAGTTGCTTGGAGACATAAAATTTAGTTGAAGTACGATTTTATAAAATGACAGTGAGTCAGAAATTGCTGTAATATTGTATGTAAGGTTTAACAGTCTTACATAATCCAAGAAAGAAGGCATGTTTGCTCGCGCTGGACAGCTAGCATGCGACAATTTATTCATTGTTATTTCAGATTTACATAATTGGATTTAGTTATTGACATTTTAAAACATTGTGAATCACATGGCCTCCTGCTTAAAATTTCAAAAAACTTTACATGAAATACTAATGTGACTGACTTCAACCCAAATTCGACATTCAAGTCTTTCACCATGATTGTAAAAAAGTAGAATTTTTTTTTTCTTCATGGAGATACAGTTTGGAATAATCTTTAGGTTGCTGCTTCATTATCCATAAAAATTACAAAAGAACAAGACATGCTTCTTTGCATCATTCATAGTTTATGAATTATACAATTTGGTAAAGATTTATCTTCATATTTATGACTTGGAAATGACTCACCAAAAGTACATTATCAACTAGTTAAAGCAGTCTTGCAGAAGTTGAGTTCTCGTAACAATCTAATATCAATATGAGATCATCAATATCAAACCTAACAAAGTAGCAGGGTTACCTCAATTAACAGAGACTATAAAGAGCATGTCATGACGTTGTTAGGATCTCATATAGGCCTTTGTGGCCCTAGCCTATAAATCTCTAAAATATCTTTTTTACCATGACCAATACCCCAGTTAATTCTATACATGTGACCCACTATCAGGAAAAGAATTACAATAGCTAAATGATGGTGAGCAATATCTTTCAGCTATAGACCACCACTTACTGGATCTAACCTTGGCTTGTACATCTGTTTTTCCAGTTTTAGCTTACAAGGAGCAAACAAAGGACACATGGAACTAGCATATGATTTTGTTTGGCCTTAAACTTTGAACTGTTTCTTTGGACTATATAATTTCAAATTATGTCTGTGCGCAGAAACATCACATTTTCATACATGATCGTCAGCCTTTAAATATGCACATTCAAATAAGCATAAAACCATATCCCAGACAGTTTACCCATTCATTCACAATCCAAAACCTCCTTGTGCATCCACAATTAAGAGTCCAAGATGATATCTTTTTTCCCCATGTAATTTCTGATACAACAATGAAATATCACAATATTACAGTCAAAGAATATTACTGATTTGTTAGTTATACATCTAAACATACTAGCTTTACACACCAGAAACCTATTCCATTGGTCAAGATTTTGCAAACTACGAACTTTTGACAGTTACAAAAACAATGCATCACTATCTATCACCCCAAAAAACAATGGAGGACTACTTAGATAAAAGACAATCTCCTCTCTATCTTATCGACCATGACTGTTTCGAAAAAAGTTGAAATCCCAACGACGCATTAAGCCATCCATAATATGGCTTGCTGGATTCTTAACAACAGTTACAGTGGCTTTTGTATTATGTGAAATGTCAGCGTCTGATGAACTTCGCACACTAGCAGAGCTATCACTGCGAGCAGAAGCACTTGTGTGGCTCATGTCTGTGACTGACGAAGTGTCTGTCAGAGTTCCTCTCAATGATGGGCTTAGTTCTGGACCCGTCTCAGGAGCACAATTTTCATTCTGGATAACCGACTTCGAATTTGACTCAGCTTTCAAAGGTTTGGAAACTTCAGCTATGCTAGAAACGGGTTCAGCGTCTGAATGCTTATCATGGTCAACTGCGGGGGAAGATTGTCTTGTCTCCGGGGACCTTGAAAGCTCCTCCACAGAAGCACCTTTTTCTGATGGTTTTGCGGACATAGTAATGACACTGGGTGGTGGTTGTTCTTCTTGAGGATGTCTAATTTCCATGTCTTTCAGCGATTCGATCACAGCTTCCCTAAACATCTAATATGTACAAAGACAAAGCAAATAAAATCCAGTAATGTGGTAAGTATCAAAAAATAAAAATAAAAAATCCAGTAATGTGGCTCATAATCAAAGGTATTTCAAAGATGAAAAATCTGATGAATTGACTCACTCTTTCTTCCTCCTCTGAATTGGATGGAAAACCTGTCAGGTCATCAAGTGCATATTCCACATATTGATCATCATCCAGTGCTGCTGGAACATGGGGACCGTATGGATCGCCATTTGACAGTTCAAAGCTAATCATTTTAGAAGATGAAGAGGAAAGATCATCATTGCATTCATCATCCTGCAGTACACAACATCATAAAAATGAGTGGCAATCTAGTTCCTCTTACGGTTTGGCCTCCTCTCCCCTTCACCTTGTGCTTGGTTGTCTCGTTTTTGTTCAGATTATATTTAATAGTTTCACTCTCTTCATCTGAAGCCAAACATTTGGATCATTCGGGTAATATCACAGAAAATGCTTTGATATAATACAGAGATTTTGAACGTTGTTGGAAGGTTTATCTCCACCTTAACTAAATTCCATTCAGTGCAGATATTGTGGAAAATCTATGGACGTTTTGTCCAACAATTCCTCAATAATCATCATGCTACCACACAGCATAAGTAAACTAAGCATTTCAATAAATAAATAGCAAAATACACGCAGAACGAGGAAAGAAATCTAGGAACAGAAGAAAGGAGATACCTTGTGTTCACAATGTTCAACTTGTGAAGAAATATCAGATGGTACCTGAGAAGTAATATAATATTTCTTATAAAAACAAACGATAGAAACATAAACAACATGCCACTGATTAAGATCCAAGTAATGGCAGCTCAAACAGTCGCATCATGTAATAAAATCTTCAGAGGATCAATTAAGGGTATTTGCAATTTTGAATGTTATTCTAACAATACATAAAAATAAATACAAACCTCCATCCTACTCATAGGTCTTTTTGGACGGCCTTGCTTAATGGCATCTACTGTACTGCTTGTTGATGGTTCTGTATCAAACGAAGCAACAATTACGAGATTCAGATATAGGTTACCAAATGCAGATCTGAATTCTAACCAACGAAGCAGAAATAGTTGAAAAACATTAGACACTTGAGTCTTGCCTTTGTAGTTAGATGGTGATTCATCATCGGATGCTACTTCATGAACCGATCTCCAAACATCCTAAAAGTAAAATTAATCAGCTTTTGCAAAATACAAGAATAAAACTTTACAGTCTGACTGAAACAGAACCCAATGAGATGCCCTTGCAGAAGTATTTACCTTACCAAAGTAATCAGTAACAGTGTCAAAAAATGATCCCCCAACCTCGTCCTCCGGAGGTTGCAAAACATTGTGAAAAAATATGTTTATGGAATCAAAGTAGAACTGTGGACGGGGAGAGTTGTGGTCTCCCTCAAATTTAATTATGTTTTTATCCCCCTGCAAAGTACAGACCGATGTTACAATAATGATTCATTAACAAGACCCAAAAGAAATAAGGATAAAACAGAGGGAACATGAAGAGAAATACATACAATTGACTAAGCAACTTCGAATTTATAGAAGACAAATTTTATGAACTTAGCATCAAGCATACTTAAAATTATCTACAAGGTCTGGCCCGACAGGGCAGAAAGAAGTTTAGCTATGTAAATCAGTTAGTAATGAACAAATCTCAATTAGAATTCTTATTGTCGAACTTACCACATATGCCTCAAATATACGATCCGAGTGATGTGGCTGTATGAAATCATCATCAATGGCATGCCCTAGAAGGGCAGGAACGAAACAACTCTTAGCCACCTGCAATGGTAAGAAATAATGGATAACATTATAAAATGTTGATTTAAACACAAACAAGAGAAAACCAAAATGTACATAAATTCCCCCCCCCCAAATAACCGCTCAAAGTTTAATATTGGATCCAAAAGATCTATTTTATATAATTTCAATGTTTATGAACATGCATATATTTGAAAATATGCAATTCAAAGCAAATTTAGATTACAATTTAAAAAGGTGCTGCACGGAAGAAACAAGCACCCCCCTTCCTCCATGCCAAAAAATTTTTAATTTCCTTGTACCTTTCAACAAGTTGAAATTTGTATCATGACAACAAAACTAGCTCGGCTAACTGTTCTTTTGGCTAGGAAAACTCCGACAACCTTTGAAAATTTAATCCTTTAAGCACGGGGTATATCAAAATGAAATAGCTGGTACATGAATGGCAGAAGACACTTCAGTAAATTATCAAGACCAGACTGAGGCCCAAGATTCTGTTATCTTTTCCATGATGCAACGGGATTATCCCTCTTTTGACTGGGGAAAAAAACAAATCATTAAGGTATTCTCCTGTCTTTGATTGACTGATCAAAATATATACCGAGGAACAATGTATTTGCCTTGAATGCTCAGTGAACTATTAATGGGGAAATGTGACAGAAGTTCATCAGTTTCCTATGTCAAACCAATCAAGCATACAGAGACAAACAATTAAAAGGAACTTCTTTGATTGGATAACCTTTATTGTGTTCAAGTTCGTTATGTCAAATTTTGCCTTCTTTTGGATTGCTTTTCGCATGTATTGGATTGCAAACTTTACCTGCATAAGGGAAGAAGAAAACTAATGTTGATTAGCATCACAAGTTAATCAAGCATGAAAAAGAGTACAAGCAGTTTTGCTTCATTGCTTATGCATAAAATTGATTTTATCAATAAATGGTCACTCCTAAGACAATAAAAATTTATACTTCTGAAAAACAATGAAACAGGGATAGTGTGAAATCAAGAGCTGGCCAGATATGTAAGTTGACCAACCAGTATACTGTAAACACTATCAAATAATGAAAACATCAAAATGTTTCTTCCTAAGAAGCACACAACAAAGTCTCAAGTGTGTGTCGATGTGCTATAGGATGTGTGGCTCCTGTCTAGTTTCTAGTGTGAATATCTAATTATGAAGCCTATGTCTTCCAATCGAACTTGATTCAAAATTATATAATCTCCATGTAAAGAAATATTAAAACATAAAATCATATTTAATTCGAAATTTTGGATAGTCATTCATGTGTGACCATATTTTCCGATTTTTATTTATTTATAGTTATATTTCTAAAATGAATATACCCACAGTGAACTTCGGCAGACGAATTCTGTATGTATCTACCAATTCCATCATTAAGTCAACCAAATCAGAGAAGGGACTGTCTAAGACCATCCCTGCAATTGAAGGATCCTCAGCTCCATACATAAGGCTGCACAAAAACAAATGTCAGCATAATGATCACCAAAGCAAGAAATAGAAACATGAAGTGCTACACAACATGAAGTAAATGCCCCAGTAATTTCAATCTTATTGCAAGCACAAAATAAGACAGAAAGTGAATTAGGAATACCTAGTCACAGCACCCATGGAACGACCCCATAAGCCAATCAAAGAGACATTTCCATCGGCCCGCAGATAATCAACCACAGCCCTGAGATCATCTTTCTGAAAACAATTAAAAAATGTTAGATAGCCATTTCAAAATGGAGAAACACAATAGAGCGAGTGGTGGCTATTCATATGCAAACTCTGAGCAAGATGATGATCCAAATGCAATAGCAGGGATAAATCAAGTATTTATAGTTTAACCGTGATATAAACAAGCTTAAAGAAACATAATGATACTTGTTAGACTCAGGCATACCTTAAGCCTCATACTTTCTATTTATATATGCAGTGCTATATTATCCATTTTAACATAATGAGCAACAAAAATTGAATGTAATTTCCTCTTTCAGGTTATTTCTTTATATTTTTGTATTCTCTCTTCTCATCAATAAATTATTTTCTATTTATAAAAACTGTGAAATTGTATCGCATAAAACTAAGCATTGAGAAACTGTCACCTCTTGTCCAATCTTACAGGACTAATGCTACTTATCCCACCTTCCTAAATCCCTCCCACTCCTTAAACAGGAAAAATCAACAAAGAACGGATAAAATTAAACATAAACAAGACTAAACATATGATATTTCTAAATAGTTATGGAGCAACCACATACTTCATGCCAACCAAGAGTGACATGCTCCCCTCCAGACAATCCCGATCCTGAGAAATCCAGAGTAAAAACTGTAATATTTGAAGGAAGCAAGATTATAGCAGCTTCACTTCCATCAGCCCTGCATCCACTGTCATATGATACAGGTGCCCAGTCAGCATAACCCAATCAAGTTAAGAAAATTCTATTCTAAACAATGACCAACCAACATATTTTAAAGAGATTAAAATCCATAAGTAATCGATTTTCATAGTACAAAAGAAGGTGGTATGGCATACTAAGTGCCAAGAAAGAGCCTACAGATATTATAATTGCAACTACCATATATTACATAATTGAGTAAATTACAACGACCTCACAAGCTTGAACCGACGAAAACACCCCTTATAGTTTTATACTGTAAAAATAGTCCACTCATAGTTGACTTTTCAGGGGTAATTGTATCTTAAGTTTTGCATAGAAGAACATGCGCTTCCCAAAAAAAAAAAAGGCAAAATCTAACAAAGGAGAGGTCATTGTAATTTATGCTTCATAGTCTTAGCATCAACGTAGAAATAAAATAGGAGTGAACAGAAAATTGAAAGCAGGAAAGCCTGATATGTGTGAAAGACTGAAAGGCAACTACACAGCGTCAATGGAACTGTTGAAAACACCAATTGCATGCTCAATGGCTACAAATAAGTCCGACAGTCACCTGTTTCCATGGCAATATATCACACATGGCAGAGGCTTTCCTTCTGGACTGATAATAGGCATGTAATGACTGCATTGAAGAACATCGTCTCGACTGTTTTTGATCTGGGAACATTTAATTTCACGTGAGAGACTGATTGCACAGCTCTTCAACTCTACAAGAAAAGATTTTACAGACAGAGTGAATTCTATTTTTGGAATCCTACCTCCACATCCTTTCTTTGATACCATTTCCCTCTCACCATGAACTCTTGCTCCAATAAATCACTCTTGGGGTCATATTCAGCTCTGCATCCCAGTGATGGATACAGACATTATTTCATAACGATTTACGTGAGAACTTGAAAAGAAAAATGGAGAAGTAATAGATGAGACAAGTTAAAAATAGCTGTACGAAAGAGGCTTGATATCCATAATTCTCCCTTTCATGACTTTTGTGACTGAGCATCTTATAATGTTATCTTAACTTAGCTTGTGCCTGTAGTAGCTTCTTCTTAATTCAATATAGTCAGCAAAACAAAGAAACTCCATTTCTTTCCTTTTCTTTTCGGAGAAAAAATATTACTTTCCGTGGATATTCTCCTCAGAAGTAGGAAACTGCATATTCAATATGCCGCCAAAACGGAATTATACACCTAGATAGAATTGCCCAAACTAATAATTTTCAGTTAAGGCATAAGGATATGGGGTGGTAATGATTTGGGAGCATGTATATCTCACCTTTAGACCACAAAAGGCAATAATAAATTACTATATTCAGTTTAACAACCGCTGCTCTTTAGTTTCTTTCTTTGGAAGAAGAATATACAGTGCAATATTGCTATGCCTACATGCAAGTGCTTCGTATGTGGTTGCAGATGAGCAAATAACACATCACACAGGCATCATAATTGCCAGGAAAGCCCCAGAGAAAAATAATCTAGTACAAACATGAGATAAGCGTGTTTACTTAAGATCTTAGTTTTGCTTGATCCCCTGAAGAACGAGATCAGCACAAGAAACCATAATTGAGATGTCAAATGGTGAATATGAACCGCAAACAACAACATATCAGAAACCAAGAATTTCCTCATGGTAGTTTCAAACTAGATCTTGAATTTCCAACTCATGAACGATAAAACTAAAATATGAAACACGATGTGCCTGCAGGACAATGAAAAGTATAAAGATGTTTCTTCGTCTACTTTTTGGCTTCTTGTTCTTCCCGTCTAAAACAAGTTCACTGATTCACAACTACATGTAGCTAATTATACACAATCTGATTCCTCTTAGTTGTGTTGGGGCTCTACAGAGACTTAAAAAACAAAACTTTGAATTCCATCGTGTTCCAACTGAACAATACCAAGAATACCAAACATAAGCAAAACCACATAAAATGTTCAGTAAAAATTAGAAAGAAAAAAAAAAAGAAAGTAACAATTGACGAGAGCATGTGAGAATAGGAAGACGATTTGAGACCTTGGTGGGCGAATAATGAAGTTGATAAGCTGCTCCATAGATTCAATGAATCAAAATCAAATCTTTCAGCAAATATGCCCTCAACATATATATCACTTTCTATATTAGAGAGGAAAAGCAAGAAATAACCAGGAGAAAAAGAAAGAGAAAGGAAGAGCCAAGGATGGGCTTTGATGGGTAACGACGGTTTTCTGAGACAAAAGGAAGAAGTAAAGAGAAACAGAAACAGAACGACCAGACCGCTTTTGTTTTGTAGGTGTTTTTCCTTTTTCATTTGTTTATTATTTTCTCAAAATCAGCAAAAAAAAAATAATCAAAATAAAAATGAAATGACAGAGAAACGTACTGTTGCCAGTTGCCACCATGCCGATGTCTGGGTCCTCCTGGCTTCCTTGCAGCCTACCTGACTCTTCAGAAGGGCCAAAACTTTACAGAAAAAAGATAATTTATATTAAAATTTGATTGCAAAATTCAATATTTAGATAAGTTTTGTGATGTGTTTAGTTTGGAAAAGATTGAAAATTTCATCTGCATATCAAATGTAAGTTCGTTTCACAGATCAATTCTGATGATTCTACATTTGCCATTTCTTTTGTTAAATTAAATTATTATATTTGTTATCCAAATCTTCATTGCAAAAAAAAGAAAGAAAGAAAGAAAGAAAGAAATAAAAGAAAGAATCGACTGCCAATGTACTTTTCAAAGGGAATTTCTTCCCGTTTGTTGGGGAATAAACAGAGATAGGAATAATGTTATAGACAGAAAAATGAATGAGGAAAATAAAAGTATGACTAACTTGAAACGTACATAGGATAATATACAAGTGACTCTAATAAAAATAATATCAATACTAATTAACAGTTATAAAATATATATTTTTTAGGAGTGGATAGCATTATTTTTTTCTCATACGTTTCTGATCTGTCGGATTCCTCGGTTATGAATAGTATGGCTTTTTTAAACATGATATAACTTTTTCTGTTCTTTAAATCTTTTTCATTGTATATTTCTTTCAATATTTCTTCACATTATTCAATAAAATTTAAACGTTATACTACGTAGTAATACAATTTCTTGAAACAAGGCTTTCAAGATATGTATGACAAAAAAAGTATACAATAACATATTCTTATAAGACTTGTTTTCAACTGAGTTAGTTTTACGGTGGTGTTGAAAATTAAAATATAATCTTAATTTTTGAGGAAAATTAAATTTTTTGGGAAAAATTAATTTGAAGATAATAATTACTGAAATATTTAACACTCCATTTTCTCCTTCTCTTATGTTAATCATGAGTAATTATGGTTTGGGATGGTAATTTAGTATGAGTGACGTTTGAGGAATGATCATTGGGATTGCAATGGAATGCGGGACATCCGAATGCCTCTTTGCTTTGGGAAAGTTTGGGCCCTAGCCAGTGGATGAGGCAACTTCCTCTTATTATTTGGACTTGTGATGTACGAGTAATTATGAGCATTGACCCGAAACAAAATTTTTGGTGCATTTTTATTTTATATTTTATAAATTATAATTGAAAATTTGATTTTAAGTCTAAATAAACCCTTAATTTATGTATTTGCCTATGGCTTTAGTCAACTACATAAAAAGGTATTTAAATACAAATCAAACCATGGTTTTAGAAGTAATTTTAAGTGTACAAAGTAAATATATTGAGCAATTTATCTCGATTTGTAGAAAAATACTTTTAAAAAGTATTTCTAGGCATATCTAAACACGGCCAAAGTTGGAAAAGAATGGTAAGAAAAGGTCCAACCTTAGCATTATATTTATGTATTTTTGTATGCAATCTTGTAATATGTTTTACAAACTAAATTTTGAAAATGACCTCTTAAATGTTTGAGAAAAGATTTATGAGATGTCTTTGCAGATTTAAATGATGTTTTGAGAAACAATTTGAGAAAATAAAAGGATTAGGTTATAATTATAAATTTTTTGAAATGTTTTCATAAAGATTTACAAGCATATAATTGAATGCCAACTTCTATTAGGATGTTAAATTTCATGTATAATGTCTTACTCCTTCCATTCCTTATTATAAGAGACATTTGATGCTCATGGCATGTTCTTATATATAAAAGACACTTAAAAGTTGTTTCTATTTTTTTGTGTTGATTTCCTATTTTACCCATATTTATTGTCTTCAACTCACACTCTCTCTTCTTTCCACTTCTCTTTATTTTAATAATTTACCATTGCTCTCTCTCATGCTCTCTCTCCTTATTAATGAGGGCATTTTGGGGAAAAAATTATACTTTTTACACATTGATTGTTCTTAACTAATTTTAACTTTTTTTTATCAACGTAATTCAGTTATTTATCTCTTATAATAAGAAACGAAGGGAGTACCATTTTTAAGTGAAAACTCATCTAGGAAGTAAGGGAAGACACTAAAAGAATGGGTTTAATAGCTCTATTTTCTCTTGTTGGTGTTGCACATGCTTAATTATGATATTTTTATACTTTTTGGTTGTCGTGGCCTAAGATATTATTTCAAACTTATGTTCTTGTGAAACTTCATTTATGTTATTATGTCACTTTTGATGATTTTGAGACCTAAAGGATGACTGACTAAGTTGATGGACTCTGAGATGATAAACTAGGACTTTTTTTAGGCCAACTGTTAGACTAAGCCGGTTGTTTCTAATCGCATATTGACTTGAATGAATATGCAAATCTTTATTTGCCCGAGCTTATGAATTCCCAGTTGTAAATGTTGTGGGCTACCAATAGTTATTCCCACCATGTTTTTCTAACATGTCACAAAATATCTATCAAGGTACACATTTGGTACTCATCACTGTAATACAATATAGAGCATTTAAAATCTGATATGGATGGTTCAGATTTAAAATTTTTAATATACAATTTTTTCAGTAATAACTTTATTTTTTAAAGAAGTGTTGGTTATAACACTAACTTTATTTTAAATTATGTATCTATTAAAAAAATTAATTAAAATACATAAAAGATTTAAATTCAATTTGGACCATCCAAAACCAATCTAAATGATTCAAATTATGATGAGTACTCCATACTCTTAAGGAAAAATGAGTAGAATTTAATTTCTAAGACAACATAGGGGTGTCCAAAGTTTGTTTGATGGAAAGTTTCTTTTTATTGTTAATTTATTAAGATTTACTAGGCAGAGAGAGTTTTTCTTGGTCCTATTTATAAATTATTTATTTTATTAAATTTTTAGTATGAGTGTACTATTTTGTCGTTCACTTGTTGTGTAGATAGTCATTGTTCTCTAAAATATGTGTATATTAAATATGGGTAAAGTTAAAAAGTTGTTATATTTTAATGGAGAGTTAATGCAGTTTAAGATTTTTCTTAATCTATATGAAATATGCTAAAAACGTTTTATAAATAAGATTATAGTTAATTTTATCCATAAGAAAGCATAAATATTTCATGGCAGGGCATTTAATTAAGTGGGGATGAAGGGTAAAAATTAGGCAGTATAATGAGAATGATGGGACAACTTCCCCCCACCACCACTACATCGATGAATTTGACGTGTGAGTATTACCCACCACACTAACCTTGTTGTGTCAACGGCACATTATTGAACATCCATCCATCCGTTAAACCTTAATTTGCCGTGGTCGATATATAAAGTAAGACCGAGCATGTTAATCAATAATAATAATGTTTGAGAATAGTGACAATATTTTAAGAAAATTATTACTAAATTTCAAATTTGAGAAAGTATGTGTTCCATTTGGATTTGACTGAATAATTAATAATTTTTTTTAAAAGTTTGCTTTTAATAATTTATTCTCTCTCCTTTATCATAATCTTTCTTATCACATTTTTTCACACATCTTTTTGCTAACATATTCATTAATTTCAACTAAATTTAATTAATTAATTATTATTCAAAAATTAATTAATTGAAGTTTATAATAAGAACTGGAAGGAGCAATATTTTTTAATAAATAACTAATAGTTCTAATCTCATTAATATAAATAATTAAAAAAGACTCGATACATATTTATTATAAATAATTAATTGTGTTAAGTTTTTTAATATTTCTAAATTAGTAATTAAAAACCCTTTAAGATGGATGAAAATATTGAGGGGAAAGGAAAAAAAAAGAATCTGTAAGGAAGTGGGGGGTCATGGATGATAACGAAGAGGATAGAGATTATGTGGGAGCAATGACAGGACAAACAAGGTGCGCACTAAGGCCTGCTTTGAAATTTCCGTTCCTTACATATATTCTCCGCACAATTATGGTTGTCAGCATATTCTTTTTAACCTCGTTATAGAGTACATCAATATTACAATTATAATTCTTTTAATTTAAGCTTACTAATAGTTATTATGAACAAATTAGGATAAATCTTACAAAATTTAGCCATAATTTCGGTTTTAAAATAAATTATGAATTTTTGAATCATTAAATTTAAATTTCTAAAGGCATTAAGTCCTATACTTTGCGATTGAGGTTAGAGGTTTTGTTTGAATGAATGGCAAGGATAGTGACACGACCCCACATAGTGTGTGTATAATTGATCGATATGCATATAAATGTAAGCGTATCAAACATGCAAATAAAAGCCAAACACGCAATAAACAAACGAAGCAGTCCAACAATCCCAAAAAAAAAACAAAAATCGAAGGATGTACTAAAGATGTTCCAAAGTCACCAACAAAGTTTGACACAGTTGCTAGATAATCGGATCCCTAATGGTTTGGATTTAAATTAAGAGGATATTTAGATGGAAATAAAACCATAATTTTAAAAGTGTTTTAACAGCATACGAAGTAAATATGTAAAATAATTTGTCTTGATTTACGGAAAAATATTTTTTAAAAGTATTTCTTGTGTGGTCCAAACACCCATAAGTGGTGCATATGAAAAAAGTTTTGTTGAGAAACGTAAAACCCACTTCAATGATTTTTACCTCTTAAGAAGATTAATCTCTAATTACTAATTGAAATATGCTGCATTGGTCTGAAAAAAATTAGAAAAAGACATTCCAAGGCCATTGGTTCATATTATGAATTTAATTTCGTTTGGCACGCACATATTTTTCGATTATTTTTTATTCTTTTTAATTTAAACATTTACTTTGAAAAGAATTGTCAAATTACATCTAATGACTCAAATGTTATAAATTTGAAGTTAAAAATACTAAAATTTATGAATACTTTTTGAGGATCAA